CTAAATTGGATTAAGGAAGCCATGTGGAGGTGGGGCTGGATAAAAGGAAGTCACAGGAATGACCCTTAATGGAGTTTTTATCGTAAGGTATGCAAACAACCGAAGTATGATTATGAGTGATTCTAAAGCAGGGGTCCCCAACCCCCGGTCTGTGGACCAGTACCGGGCCGTGGCATGCCAGCAACCAGTCCACACAAACGAGCAAAGCCCCATCCGCGGGATGCAGGCAGCACACAAAACCACGCCCCCTCCGGTCCGCAGAAAAACCTCTCTCCACGTAACCGGTCCCTGGTGCCCAAAAGGTTGGGGGCCTCTGCTCTAGAGAACACATATGAGAGTCAGTCTGTTGTATTAGGGAGTCTTTGTCTGACAAGCACAATTCAGCCCAAAATCTCTATTGCTAAGCGAGACAGTAAGTTAAGTGAGTTTTGCCTCATTTTACAATCTTTCTTGCCACAGTTGTTAAGTGAGTCGTTGCAGTTGTTCAGTTAGTAACGCGGTTGTTAAGTGAATCTAGCTTCCCCACTGACTTTGTTTGTCAGAAGGTCACAAGAGGTCATCACGTTTCTTAGATGGCTGGGGAATTCTGGGAGCTGAAGTCCACAAGTCACAAAAGGGCCAAGTTTGAAGACCCCTGCTCTAAAGGGAGTCTTCTCAAAAAGGGGTTCTATAGAGATAGCTTTAATTTCAACTCTTGATCAGAAGAGTTGCTGGAGGATTTCTGGTTGGGAGGTGTCCATATTTGTCCAACTGTGGGGAAAATTAACGGTAGAAGATGGGCTAGGACTAATCCAGTACAAAATGTGAGAATCAACAGCTGGTCGATATGAGGAGGAACCAGGGAGCAAGTTAGAAAGGGAAAAGGTGAGGAAACAAAAAGAATGGATGAACACTCATGAGGGTTGATTTAAAAACATGGTAGGATATGTTCATGTACACATACATATCCTACGCATCTAAAGGGCAAAAAGAACACACTCACCTTACTCCAGGTACAATTGAAAGTCTGTCTGTCTGTTTCTATCTATCTACCTATCTGTATGTATGTATGTATGTATGTCTGTCTACAGTATCTATTCTTTCTGTCTATCTATCTTTTTTTTTTAATTTTAATTTTTCCTTTTTTCACTATACAACAAAAATAAAACTGAAAAATACATTTTCCACCTTAACCAAACTGTGTTATACATCTCGTATATATTATTTACAATTTATTTATATCAGTAATCATATCTTTTTCTTTCTTTGTTCTAGCCAATCATAAAATTTGTTCCATATTTCATAAAATTCTGTTGCCTCCTTGTCTTTTAATTCTAGCGTAAGTTTATTCATTTCCGTGCGTTCAAGAATTTTGTATATAATCATATCGTTTGTAGGTATGTTTTCGCCCTTCCAACACTGAGCATATACTATACGGGCTGCTGTCAATATATGTATAATGATGTGTTAGAGTTGCTTTTCCATCTTTAAATTTATTATACCCAGAAGAAATAGTTCAGGTTTGAATTCAATATGCACCTTGGTTATCTCCTGTATCCAGTTCCTTATCCGTTCCCAATAGCTCTTTGCTTTGGGGCACAGCCACCACATGTGATAGAATGTTCCTTCCTTATTTTTACATTTCCAGCATTCCGGATTCATATTTTTGTACATTTTGGCCAATCTCGTATCTATCTATCTATCTATCTGTCTGTCTGTCTGTCTGTCTGTCTGTCTGTCTGTCTGTCTGTCTGTCTGTCTGTCTGTCTGTCTGTCTGTCTGTCTGTCTGTCTATCATCTATCTATCTACCTACCTACCTACCTACCTATCTCATCCATCCATCCATCCATCCATCCATCCATCCATCCATCCATCCATCCATCCATCCATCCATCCATCCATCTATCTATCTATCTATCTATCTATCTATCTATCTATCTATCTATCTATCTATCTATCTATCTATCTATCTCAATTTAACCACCTAGCTATCTCTAGCATTTCTGTGAGCAGAGAGGTCGAGAAATAAAATGCGGGAACTGGGTCTGATAATATGCCTAAAATATTTTTTTTTTCTGCTTCTCAACTTAAGAATGAAGGGGGAACAACTATAAACGAAGCAGATCCCAACTTCTGAGACCCTTGTGCAGCCTTCAGCTTTCCTGCTAAAACATCCCCTTTGCGCTTTCAAACTCTCTTAACATAGCCTGTAAGCT